ATGAAGTATTGTATGAAGACGTGTTCCTGTTAAAACTTGTACAAGCATTGACAATTAGAAAGTTGGTATTTGGTAAATAACGAGGAAACTCTAGCGTTTTAAAGTTTTTTTAGCAATAAATTCCTTTTTTTCAGTAAAAAGTTTAATATCACTGGACTGTAAATCAGAATAGAAATCCAATAACTGTAAGTGGTCTTTTCTTAATCGGAGGTAAAAGACAAATAACCTTAGCAAACATATTGATCAGCTATGTGGTCGTTGTGCCGGAAGTGAGATATGACCTGTTTCCAAGAATACGACCCATTTTATTTTATTTTAGTTATTTATAGTATTAGGTTCTTTTGGTTGTTGTTAATTACAAAGTTAAATATCGAAAACGACCTTTAGCGTAGTAAGCCTGCAGATCTATCGCCGAGTCAGTAGGGGCTATAGTATTAGACAGATTGAATATATAACATTAAACTCACTAAATAGCAATAACTACATTAGTAGTTAAATGTGATAAGCATGGTACATTAAGCTTTGCATTTGACAATTCCCCTTCCTTAATAATTCGCTAAGCAGGCCTGACCTTGTGATATGTTTTTGGGTTACGGACCAAACACAACACTAACAACAAGGATATCAAACTGATGACCTCTAAGACAGAGTGGTTATAAAGGCTTTTTATGGTTTGCTTGTCATGCGTGATTAAGACTAACTACTACTAATTCTATTTTTTTTTGAAGATTTTTAGCAACTCGCCTGGTGCAAGTTAATTCATGATTGTTGTTCTCTTTGTAATAAAGTTCAATGTCAGACTTGTAGGCTTAAAAAAAACCTAATACTTTCTCTAACCAACATAAAGAAGCCTTTACAGCATACCAAAACTAATCTTTGTCTATCTCAAAACATGATGTGTCTAATACAGTGGAAAAAATTAAACCATCCGTATGTTGGACAAACCCATACTACCTTTAGAGAAAGGTTATATAACCATACATCCTCTGTTAGGACTACAAAATACCTCCCAGTTGTCAAACATTTTAACCAGCCTGACCACACCATTGGTACTAAAACCGGATTTAAATAAAAAACATAGATCCAAATAAAATGGGTCTACTGAATCAGTATTTTCAACACTTTTACTTTCCCTCATGGTATGAACCTTGACCCCGCTATTAATGATCTGGGTTTTTAACGCAAAGTCTTTCCAGAAATTCTTAGAAATTTCTGATTTTAACGAACGTCTCCACTATTGTATTAATAAATGTTTAACTCCTATTACTTAAAAGAAAGTATTTTTATTTCTGTATTATACTTTGCATTTAATATACAGTGTATATTACTTTTCGTTATCATTTATGTATGTATTCTTGGATTTAACTTCTTGATCTATTAGCTAATATTACATTCTTCCTATTCCTGTAACATAAGTGCTTTTGTTGATAAACCTCCCAATAGTTATGGTATTTTTTTACTTGATATTAATAAGCAAATAGTGAATGATAGTTTTATTCCTAGAGTATAAAAGCCTTTTTAGCGCCGGTTTTAGCAAGCCCGTGGAAAAAGATTTCTCTGTCCAGTAATAAGTTTTTGAAATTTTACCTCACTTGTTCACCCCCATAAATCCAAAAAACTAAACCTGTTTACAGGTATTGTCCAAAACATGCAATGAAAACTTCTAAAAGCTACTTTGAATTCTAAATAATAAGTTTGTTTGTTCGTTTGTTTGTTTTTTAATTATGCACAAAGCTCCACAAGGGCTATCTGTGCTTGGCCCACCACGGGTATCGAAACCCGGTATCTAGCGTTGTAAGTCTGCAGACATACCGCTGTGCCACTGGGGGGCCTAAATAATAAGAACTACTTACGAAAACGTAAACGTGAATTAGACCACTAATTTGTCTGCTACCTCAAACCAGATGAGTACAACAATATACAACGTGCCATCAACCAAAGGAATTCTGTGTTCAATCAAGAGAAGAAATATATACACAGCAAAAAAAACAACAAAAAAAACAAACTTGAACAACTGAGGCAAGTACAACAATGTGAAAGATGATACAACAGCAAAGCACAACCTAATCTTATTAAAAACAGATCAGATCGACAACAAAACGAAAGTAATGTACAACTTCTAAAAAAATGCCTCAATTTCATCTTCAACCACCAGACAATTCCCTGTCTAGAGTTAAAGACCAGCTTAGAAGATTTTTCTAGAAGGGTAGTGATTCACTACATAAAAGAGAAAAATCCACCTTCACCTTAAACAGCATCCAGCTACAAGAAGACATCCAGAACCCCGGCAACCAGACTTTGATAGGTAATTATCACAAAATATGGTTTCCTAAAGTTCCCCAAAACTGTATTTTAAACAACTTTTTTTAAGGAAATCCTAACAAGACCATTAACGTAGTTAACCAAACCCATAAAGTGAAGACCTATCTCACAAGCAACGAGATAAAGTGCATCTATAATCTGAAGAAAGACACTAGCATTAAAATTCTAAAAGCTACCAATGGCAACACTTCTGTAAGCATGAACAACACAGAATACATAGACAAAATGAATGACATCCTTTCAGAAAAAATAAATGCAAACCCATCCCAAACACACATGAAAACAACTGAATAGAACTCTGTCACAAATGAAAAAAAATAATTGAATTACTCAAGATCTATATTTTCATCTAAAGGAAAACTGACTCACACACACTACAACTCTATAGCATTCCCAATCAGGACTGCCCCATACGAACTGTACTATCCACTTATGATTCATTTAACTACAACCTTGGCAGATACATAGCCTTTACTCTCACATCAAACATAACACCTGCAGGTTCCTTTTCTAAAGATGTCTTTAATTTCAGAAACCCATTAAACCAAGTAAGCTCTCAAGCATTCTAGGCCATCTTTGATGTTGTGCCACTTTTCACTGAAGTTCCTGTCAAGGACACTTTTAATATTGCCCTTGACCTCTACTGTAACGACCTTAATCCTTTAATTCACATCCCCAGTACACTCTTAGAATTAACAACAACGAAAATCAACTTCATTTTAAATAACAAAACATTCGTCAAATAGATAATTTAAGCATGGGTAATCCTGTTTTACCTGTTCTCACCAACATATTTATGACCCAGATCGAAGCACAAGCCATACAATCCACACTTTATCCTCCTCTATACTGGTACAGTTATGTCTATGACACTATTTCCGGTTTCACTTATATCGAACTGTCTTTGAACACGTAAACTTCATTCACCCTAACATTAAATTCACTGTTGAACACGAAAATAACAAGCATCTATTGTTTTTAACATTGAAATTATAAAATCTGACACAGTTCAAACCAAAATTCACCGAAAAAATCACTCACACAGGTTTCTACACTCACGGAAGTTCCGCTAATGAATCCAAGGAAAAATTAATAAGCGATAAAACCTTATAAACACAACTTCAAGACTTTGTTCAACTAACTAAATAGATAAATAAATCAACCTTATAAAGCATTCCTTCATTCACCCCAACAAATTTCCACCAACAAATTCTCACACAACCACCAGAAGATAAACCTCAAAACTCAAGTCAAAAACAAAATTAACACTAGTAAACCAAACAACAACACAACATTACAATGCAGTTTGGCATTCATCCCTGAAATCAGTTCAAAAATAATTCACACTTGGAGAAAACTTAAACATAAAATTCCTGTCGACTTCAAATTCATTTCAAATCCCGGCCCTAAACTAAAATCATTATTAAATAGAATCACAAATTGCCAAGGTCATTTATAAAATAACGTGCAATAATTGTCCAGAATTCTACATCGGAGAAAACAAAAAACCAGAGTCACCGAACATAACAAAAACCCTCTCATGCTTATCACCATTGTAACAACAACAAACAAAAACCCACAAACAAACAGCATATCAGGACAAAACACTAATCTTAAACATAGAACCAAACATCAACAAATGAAAAATAAAAGAAGCCATCTTAATTGAACAAAACAGCCCTACCCTAAACCAGCACCCCGGAGTACCAAGATATCTTTAATAAGCTGTTAAGCAATCTCAGATCATGTGACCTCTTTGTTCCATAAATTTGTGATAAAGTTTCTTTCACTACCCAATCAAGCCGTTTCCAAACTATATTTTAAAAAAAATGGGCTTTTCGTAATCAAATATCCTTATAATCATTCACATTTTGTGCTCTAAACTTTTCTACTTGCATTTGAAACAAACTATGTTTGTATTGGCCGTTAGCTAGCTTAATTTAAATCCATCAAATAGTACATTGGAAGATACAGTAGTCCTTATTGTCCATTGCTGAAAGAATCGGTCACTTGAGACACAGCCTGATGTTACTGTACTTTAAAACTACCAATTTGTTCTCTCGAGCTGTCACTGTTGGGTGTTAGACGTTTTTAAATAGCTAGTCAAATAATCGTTTTTTTTTCTTTTTGGTGTAAGGTCACCTTCTATAATGGTTCTTTGGGCGTTTGAAAAATTAGTGCTTTTACCCGTTGTATTCCATAAAAAATCATAACGTTACAATATCTCTAAATTTGTAGCTCTTAATTAAACAATGGCGTTATACGTGTCTTTATTTATTTTTGAAATGCGTGTGGGTTCATAATTAAGTGGCTACTCAGTGCCAATATGGTTGTTGTTTGTTATTAAGCACGAACCTACACAAAGGGCTATCTGTACTCTGCCCATCTGTTTCTAGTAGTACAACTCCGCAGACATGCCGCTGTGCCACTGGGGGCATGTCAGTATGGAAACCCATTTTCAGTATTACATTTACAATATAAAACAGTCAATAATAATATCAAATCTCTCTCATTGTTTTATTCGGTAGTGTGGTCTTTAGTACCTTAATATTTGAGTTTTGAATGACTTTCTACGTATGTCACTGGTTAGTGCAAGTGATTGCATCGAAAGGTGCAAAATATTTTAAACAAATATTCTGATTTTAGCAAAGAACTTTCGAAAACCATCCAGATTAATGTAATTCTCAATATATAAGGATCTGAATACGTGTTCTAATTTATTAAATTTAATACTATGCCATTTTACAACAAGCTGGATAACATAGCATCAAAAGTTCAATACACGAGAAAGCATGCTCTTTAGGCAATGCCATTTAAGTTCATAAGGGCATGTATAAATCAAGTTATTTGTGAGCAAAATTATTTCGAATCATGTTCAAAACATCACGTCATCGTGGCAAAAATCGTTGTTGAGCGAATATTGTAATGTTTTTGTCTTCTCATACTGATTATAGTTGAATTGTCCACCTTTATATTTAGTGGCTTTCATAACCATTATTATTTGAAATTATTAACACTAGGTTTTATATTACATAAGATCAATTCTTGGTTTTTTTATTTATGTTTAAAGGACCAGTTAAAAATAGAAACAATTTTAAAGAGTATATGATACCTTTGTGTCATATTCAGTGATCAATGTTTGACCTTAAAACCTGAAGCATTTTGGAAGGATTTTCCATTAACAAATCGGCTTATCATGTCAAAAGCGATACGTGGTTGGTCATAAGGCAGAATGTGACCTGCATTTCTAACAAGTACTTGGTAAAAATCGTGGACTTGACGAACGTACCCAGCTACCATTTTATCAGTAGTTTTAATTTTCCATATCTGTCTGGAAGAGTTCTTGTACTCCTCGGAATACTTCCACTTGACCGACTGGAGAAAACTTTCTGTAAGCGGAAACGCGATGATTATATCTAGTTGCCCACTGTAGATCATAACTTTGTAATTGTCCATAAGAACTTCAAACCAAGGCTTCACGGATTTCATGATATCTTCTAGTAAGTAATCTTCAACCATGGAACCATCGTTGTAGGTCAAGTTGCCCACGTGGATGGCTTTGCGAACTGCAGGAAGGGCTAAGTATTGGTTGTAAAAGCCAAAATTCTCTGGTGCTTCAGTGTAGAGGAAGTTATAGTAGAAAGACAACCCAGTTGCATTGGCGAAAAAGGATGGTTGTTTAGTTTTGTCTCCATTAAGTATGGAGTCAAAGATATAGAAGGCTTTAAGCCACTGTTCCTCCTGGATATATTGTTGAGCTAATGATGTTTTTTGTCGGACATAATCAGCTTGCCTCTCATCGACTAATCCTACTTGATACAGAAAATCTCCATAGTCTAACATAGTCTCAGGATCACATAAACCATCGCCAATAGCAATTCCTTTAAGGTTTATTTTGCTTTCACTTCCTTCGCTGTGAATTTTGTACGCGATCGCTGGAACATATTTTCCTGAAATAAAAATAATCACTGTATATGATACATTTGAAGACAAAATCTAATACCTTTTTGTTGAGTTACTAACAATTACCTTGACTAACAATTCCTAAAAATCCCTAAGAGATTAGATTAAGAATGAAGTGTTTAAAAATGTAATGGGCCTAATGCTAATTTCTTATGACAAGTAAAATTGTAATTATTCTTCACCAGCATGTGTTATAGCCGTACACACCATAATAATTATTATTGTATCAAATGGTTTATATTTTGAGTGTTTCGACAACTACTGTGTTTGTTGTATCCCAGCTGGTCCACAGAGTTTGGGACTGAGCGAAACGCGTTGTCGATAATGGATATGATAAATATAGTGTGGTTGGTATACTATTATTATACAATCCTCTAATTCTTGAAAGTACCTAAGGGGTTTGATTAAGAATGTAGTATTCAGAAATGTGATAGGCCTAACACTAATGTCTTATCACAAATATAATTGTAACAATTCCCTCTCTCCATTTAAAACTGAGTAAAATATTAAGAGAAACTTGTTAACTTTTATATTATAGTCGTTTATAATCCATTACGTATATTTTAAGTTATAAAAGTTTTTTTTTTTGAAAGGTGAAAACGTGCAAGAAATCCTCACCTGCATAAGATTCTCCAGTAATATAAAATTCATTTTTTCTGTAATCTTGAAAAACTGTAAAAAACTGCTGAAGAGCCTCATAGAGGTCATTTGCCACTTCTGTTTGATTAGTAGCATATCCACGTTTGTCATTTGTGAAGCTAAATCCTGTTCCCACTGGGTTATCAATAAACAGCATGGAGAACTCCTGCGCCCAAGTGTACTTACGAAGCTTAACATTCATGTCCTTTAACACCACCAGGGGTCCATGTTCAACAAAAAGTCCAAACAAAGAAGAACCACCAGGACCACCTTGTAACCATAATAACACTGGTGCAGTAGCAGCGTTATTCTGCAGAAATAAGACATAAAACAATTGAATTAAAAGAACGTTGTAAATAAATAACACACACACACACACACACACACATATATATATAATTACGTTAGATGTAATCTTCTATTTCGGCAAAATATATTGTAATTAAATAAAAGTGTCATTAATCTTGTAAGAAGTAGAACAAAATTGCTTAAGGTTATTGATATGTTAAATTCCTACATGACAATTAAAATAATCTCATAGATCAACAAGCAAGTATGTATTTCATACTGTATTGTTTCAATCTGTGCCAACAGTTTGTAATAAAGATAAATGTACTTCCATTTCGAGTAAATTTGCTTTTCCTCTGGATACATGCACAGTTCTGTTGGTCCTATTGTAAATCTTTTTTGCAATACTTTATTTCTCAGATTCAAAGTTAAATACTTTCCCTTTGTGGTTCAGCGGCAAACGTGATAGATTATATTCTTAGAATTCGAAGTTTGATCCCATTATCGCACACAATTCTGATATATCTTTGTACAGCTTTGAGCTATAGCTCTTTAAACCATGTTAATGCAATTTTTAGTAATTACACTGTTGTATTTCGCCATAGCAAGTAATATTTAACGAAACTATCCCCATTTTTTATGTTTTAAAATTTGCCTTAATTCTGACATATGGATTATATCAAATACAAACCGATTTTTTCCAGTTAAAAACATATAAAAATTTTATGCCACAGTACAACGTGTTATCTGTTATCATTTACTGCACCTCGGACAAACTGATGTCATATGCTTTACACACCATTTGCAGAAATCTGTGTATTTAGTAACTTAAAAACATTGATTCAGTTCTACTTCATATTTCTAAGAACTATTATAAATATCACTCACAAACATGTCATTCAATTGTAATCTCGTTTAATGCAAGATTTAGATATATTCATTTAAGGCTAAAATAAAACGTGTTTATGGTTTGAATTACAGAACAGCGATTAACATGAGTATAATTAATAAATATTCAGGATATCTGGCAAACGTATTGTTTTTTTTTGGTCAACAACATATAAATAAAATGCGACTTCTACACATTACCTTAATGACACAACTGAAGTATTACTGTACCTAATCAAAACATTTTAAAATGTTAAAATCTTTAAAATGAAGATATTAAGATATGATATTAAAAGCCAAATTATATAAGAGAGCAAACTTTGTAAAGATGTAACGTAAAAGAGCGTATGTCAATATATATATATATATATATATATATATATATAGTGAAGCTTGACCCATCTTTTAGTTCATGCTGTTGTTTGTTGCCATTGCGGTAAAAAGAAAAAGGCTAAAATTTAACTAATTTTTTCTTGTTTAATTTACATACTTTTATTTTTTGTTGGACTTGCCTTTTTGTATAACTGTCTATTTTTTGATATTACACCTTTACATGGCTGACCTCTTTATTCTAAAATTAATTAACACTGACTGTTTTTGTACATATTAAATAATTGATATCTCCTCTTGTTGTTTTGATAATTATTTCAAAACTAATTAAAAGATAAGAAGTAAAATTAGAACTCGACTGTTAGGGTATGTTACGTATTACGTAGTGTCCAGGGTCAGTGATGAGGAGTGGAATTCTCCGAAACTAGTCTGGCTCATAGACACACACCCCAGTGAAGGAATAGGCCATTCCAAGCTTTTACTTGTTGTTAAACAAATGTTTAAACAGCTCTATTTATTCAATTATGTACAAGCTGCCCAGTGTCGGCTAACAATACGAAGAATTACATTGTGGCGAAATGCTACAAGTTCTTCAAATACCTATAGAATGATAGATTTCTTTTTTGTGAGTGTAGAACACTTAAATACACCAGTTCGGTATTTTTGGAATTTGTTATTAAGGTTCTCTTTCAACTTCATTAAACAACACAATTTTGTACAAATCATTGAATGTTATGCTACTATTTACAAAAATAAATTCTGAAATCCAATAAAAGATAAGTTCTCTATAATTTTTTCAATTGACAAATGTGATATTGCCCTCACGATAAGACAAAATGGCCACGACAGATAACGGGTTATAGGCGTGTGGAAAGCTCCTCGAAACTTCAATACTGATGCTAACACTAGCGTATATGTACACACATATATTGTTGATTCTTACTCTCGACAATCTTCTAAAACTTTAGAGAATAGGCGGGAGTTTCATAATACATATTTAACAGTACAAGTTATGTACATTTCTAAATTTAAATTTAATTTAAACAGATATCGATATTAATATATACATATAATAATAAATCCGTCAGAAGTAACACATATGTAGCGCCTTACATCACTATGCCATTACTTCACTTCAAATTTTACCCCTGCTCCTAGTTTAATCCTAGCGGCTGTGGATTAATATATTAATACACGTGCTAGTCTTTTTTTGAGTACACGTTTTCCTCTTCAGCAAGAAGAAGAGTTTCCAGTTTATGACGGCTTATTTCTCGTAATCTAAAACAAATGGGGAGCTGCTGATTTTACTACTGTGCAAATATACTTTCGTTAACGAAAACGAAAGTGAATACGAAAACAAATATTACTTGAACGAAACGAAAACTAAATGTTTCTTCAAAACAATCACGAATGAAAATTAAAATTCTTAAAACGGCAACAATAAACAGCAATTGGTAACAATTCGTTCACTTGAAAAGTTTTCAACTTTCAGCTAATTTTCTCTCGAAGGCAAATGTTTTAAATTTATTTATGGTATTGGAAAAAGCAATAAGGGTCAGTCTGTGAATGATACTGAGTTTACTAGGCATAACTGTCAGCACAGAGTAATCCTTTTCGTCATATACAATCATAATGGAGACTAATTACTGTAAATAAGTTATATCTGAAATTGTTTTGCAAGTTGTATATAGTAAGTTTAAATATTTATCTCTGATGCCTGGTCACTAGTCGCTTAATACCAGTGTTGTGGTTATGGTCTGGATTCTGGAATATAGCTAACAGGTACATTTGCAAGTTTTCGTTTTTTGAAAGGACTAATGACTAATGTCCCCCAGTGGCACAGTTGTATGTCTGCAGACTTACAACGCCAGTAACTAGGTTTCGATACCCGTGGAGGGCAGGGCACAGGTAGCCCATTGTGTAGTCAAAGAAACTAATGACTAAAATTAAATTTTTTATTACTTTTCATTTAATTCATATATTGTTCAGAATATTTAAATTGTCAGAGTAATTACTAGTAATTATACACTTAAAAGAATTACTCTATACACAAGTGATTTTGATTCAAAACTCAAAACAGAATGGAAACCAAAATTAACATCAGATATTCAAAACTAAAACGGAAACTATTATTAAATAAGCAAAACGAAATTAAAACTAAAAGTGCAACGCCAAAAGTAAAACTATTACTAACAAGCAAAACGAAATAGAAACTACAACTAAAATATCACTGCCGCTGTGTGAGAATGTTTAGATTTGTTCAGAAAAATTAGAATAGTGGCATTCCAACATGCGTAACAGCTGTGACAATATCCCAGATTTGGTAAAAAGAATTCGTTCCTGCATATAGTCACAGCAGTGTTATTCCATCCTTCAGTTCTAACTTGACTGGAGTCACCATCATGCTTCTATATGTCTATCTTATACTACTAATAAAATTTGTCCTTTCGCAGATATTTCGGCAGCTTATATTTTGTAATTTTATGTTTAATTACTGGACTTCACTATTACTTCGTAGGCTTTATTGTTTTGCTGCAGACGTAAGAAAAAGCTATTTTCATTGGTTTTAGGAAGATGTAAAAGTCTTTTCTAATATGGTGATAAACTACATTTTTATGAATTTCTAATTTGCATAGTATTTACTATACAAATAACAGAACAACAGACACTATCGCTAGAAGTGAGGATATTTAAATGCTAAATCAATGCAGCATAATCACCGCGTATAAGCTCCTAGATCTAATAATTTTATGTTACAAATCGTATTATGACTATAGTTCGTATTAATCTTCTACAACCTTCTACAAGGTTACAGGTTTACAATGCTAAAATCCGGGGTTAGATTCCAGGCGGTGGATACAGTAGATTGTACAATGTGGCTTTGCTAAAAAAACATAAACTAACGAAAAACTACAATATATATATATAGTCTGACTTTTTTCTTTTTTAACTGTTATCAATAATGATATTAAGATATTTGATACTGCTCTTTCTGTTGGCAAAATTCTTTATTTCAGAAAGGACTCATTCAGATCTCTTAACATATAAAAGAAATAGCACAACTTAATGATTCCATATTTACATAGCAGTTATTGCGTATCCTGTAAAAATTATCGTGTTCGTCGGAGTGTAGTCATATTTATCGTAAGATGTGGTATCTTGAATAACTACAAATAAAGTAAAATTTCACAATAACTCAACCATATTTACATCCACAATTTCGTATAGACTTACTGGTCAATAGCCATGGCAAAATCCTACCGAATAAATAAAGTACATTAAAGATACGATAATAAATATACAAAGTCGTGTTTATTATACCACAAGCTTACTGGGGACTTAATTTGCTATAACTTAGGATGGAAAGTTAGTGTAGAAATAGTAAAATGTGTTGCTGATTGAGCATTTCTTTGATTGCAAGAATGAGTAATTGGTTATTAGCCGTTTTGGGACATTTTGTTGTTCATTTTTATCTCACCAGTTATTAGAATTTCTAATATAATTTCTTTTTCGTTAATTGTCAGAATAATAAGGCTTTTACTTATACTTCTTAATAGTATAAATATAAACTGCGTTGTTTTTGGGCTTAGGATTCTTCTACAGTAGGTGTCTGTGACTTGTTAGCGATAAATTCAACGATGA